AAATTCATAAACAACACCATTTTCGAAAAGAAATTTAGACATGTCCATGATTTACATATTCCCTCCCAATGTTTTTATTGACTTCCCAATTTGTGTTTTTATCACATGGAAGAATTTGACAAATAAGGTAAAACTTCAGATTTTTATTTCATGAGGAAAATCCATGTAACACAAGTACAATCATCAATAAACATGACAAACCATTTAGCATATTGTCGCATATAAGTTAATGCTCTATCCTGATGAGGTGTGTTAGAAACTAATTTTTTCTACATTCAATGTATCATGTGAGCATATTTTTCTGGTGTTTGGTTGATGTAACACTGATTTGTTTTGATATGTAGAATTGTTTTTCTTGCTCATAACTCCTTTCATCTTAATTAGAAGTCAAACGAACAGTTGTTGAGATTTAAAATAACTCCAATCCAGAAAATCCCCTCATTTAAATTATAAAAAAGGAAATTTCAACAAAAGATGAAAAATTGAATTTTATATGGATGATAGTGTAACAAGCTTCTTGTTTTTGTCTTTGTCATACTGCTTTTGTCATTACTTATGTGTGTTGATTTTTTTAATTGTTGCAGGTTTTCATCATGACACAAATGAACAGTGGGTGCACATTGATACATTTTCAGCCATGAATGGGATATCTCGCTTTTGTGAAAGTGATTTGCCATGGAGGTATATCTTGTTTCTTTTCTTTGCACTGTACTAATAATGCATCTAGTTAATTGCATGGATCCTATTAAAGATATTATGTAATAAGAAATATTGCATAGCGTTAATTTTATTTAGGGATTACGTTTTATATTTTTTTTGTTTCCTTTGATTGAGTCGTTCTATTCCTTTTAAATAGAAAATCATGTGTGTGCTCATAACACACAATTGCTGTAAATCTTTCTATATGTAGCACGTGGGAGTTGGTTCCCTTACCTCCCATGAAGACTGTTGGCTGTAATTAGGTGTATACTTTGAAGGTTGGACTAGATGGCAATATTGATTAGCACAAAGCTTGCTTTGTGGCTTAGCCATATATAGATCTTTGTAAACAACATCATTCCCCTGTTTCCAAACAGCTTTTGTGCATCTATTTCTTGAAATGGTAGTCATCTAAGGATGCCTTCTTACACGGAGAGTTGCTAGAAGATGTTTACATGTAACAACCTCTGTGTTTCATGAGCTCTGGTGAATCTCACCTTGTATGCCACCTTTGTCACCCTCTGTATGAATTGAAAGAGTCTCCCCATACCTGGTTTGGTCGCTTTAGCTCTACCTTAGTTCATTTTGGCATGAGTCGTTGTAAGATTAATTACTCTGTTTTTCCAAACATTCTTTGCCTGATTGTGAATGTTGATGACAACATCATCATTGATGACTACGTTGTCATTTCCTTGAGAAAATATGCACTGGACATCTTCACTAAGACTAGTAGTATGCTTGATTGTCATCCAAGTGATACTGATACGGACCCCAATATCAAGCTGCTTCTAGATCTTGAAACTGTAATCCAGTATGTGAAATGTAATTTCCTGTTGCGTAGGCATGTAAATGGATGGAGGCCTTGATAACGTTGCTGAAGTATGTAGGCATATAGTTGACTGCAGGTTTTTTCTGAGCATAGTGAGAATGATTAGTGAATATGTTTCTCATTGCACTAATGAAAACGCAATGAACCTTGATCTATTTTTCCTGATCCTCACCATTTCAAGTTTATTAGTTAGCACTTTATCTATAGTTGAAATGAGGCATCATTATTGTTCTAGGGTTTACATTTTTAAACATTTAATTGTGAGTGCCTTCTATACTATTTGTTGCTGTAAGAAGTCCAATTCTGGATTTGAATGTTAAGAGGGGGACTCCTCCTAACATTCATTAACTCATGATGATTATGCAGATTGTTGTTTGTATATGGTGTTGACATGATCTATGATGCTCACATGGAAAATCGTCGAAATACTAGACATACATATGACTAAATATGAATGAAATACCTAGTCATGGGGGAAGATTTAAGTGTTAATAATTTCATTATAGCTTTGTTGATTGCTTGCAATTTGGGATGACCAAACTGTTTTGCTTACCAACTATTTTTGAACTCGAAGTTGCTTATCTTGAATTCTTGCTGCAGGTACTCTAAAGAAGAACAAATTAGTTTGGAAGAATTTCAACGGAGAAATTTTACTTTCCTTATAAAGTGAGTTATATATTAACAGATTGATATATTACTTCAGTACATTACTTGACAGACATAATTTGTATGGCCCATGCTATGCTTATGATGAGAGATCCTAGAAAGTGTTGCAAAAGATAGTAGTGTCAAGTGAGCAAGTTTGTCAAATAAAATTGATGAACTTGATACATTAGATCCCCAAGAAGAGTATGTGCTGTGAAGGACTTCAGCATATGTTATGTTCATAATGGTCATTGCCATGAACTAACTATCCTTGAAGCTTTTGTTATAATTTGAAGACATGTGAATAGTTGTATATTGCATCTAGATTACACCTCGTGTATCATGTCTTCTGGCTTGAGACATAGATAGTTCGCAATCCCAGCAACATTGTGCTGAAATTTATTTTTTTTATTACAAGAACGTTTCAGCATGGATTGAAATCTGTAACACTTGGTCATGGAAATATTGATACCATATTATGGACCTACTATCCCAAAAGCTTAAGCTATTTAAGTGAAGATGCATGAATGATTTTATATTACATCTTTAAGAGACATAATATTTAACACTAGGCACTTGGATGAATAAATTTTATTGATGACTTCGGTCATATTTAACATTAGGCACTTGGAGGAATGAAATTAACATTTCATTTGGAAATCTTGAACTGGAAGTTTATATACGTTTTCAGTGCATTGGCTGATTGCAAGAAATTTTCCAGTTGATATGACCTCCTTGTTGATCTTTTAACAGTGAACATCCTGTGATCAATGGATTCAAGTGCCTATTTACTGAAGATGGGTTCTCAAGAGTCCGCTTGAAATCTGGCTTTCCACCAATTTCACTGGTTGGTAGTTGCTATTAGTATTCGCAGCCAGCTCAAACAATGAATGCTTTGTTAATTATTGATCCTAGTTTTCACCCTTTGCAGGTAAAAGAGCCTAAAGTTTATGTCCATGGAAGTTTAGGAAATCAGAATATTGTCAGCCAAAATTTTTCTGGCTGCTCATAATTTGTCTGGTAGTATAGTCTGTTTGAGCTTGACAGGTTTGAAGGGTGTGGTATCCTTTTTGACCTTTTTTCTCTCAGTTACCTACGAGGAAGAGTGGGGAGCAAGTTTGACTAAAGTTGGTATTGTGACCCGTTCTAACAGTTGTGTGTTTTCAGCACTAATGATAATGTACATACGGGTATAATATTTTTCTTGTAGCATTTCAAACATTGATTCGTCTGAGGTAGCTATATCTGATTTTTCAATTACAGTAGATCATACTGGTTCAATAGTCTGATATGGAATTACTTGAAAACTTTTTTGGCTTAATTTAATGCAGTTAAATATTATTTAAGGAAGTATAATTTGGATTGGAGTCTAGTAGCTCCTTTTCCAATTAGAAAGCATTATGCATTTTGGTTATTGCTAAAGCAAATAACAAGCCCTTTGCATGTACATATAGATCTATGGTGTTCTAAGCTACTTTTATCTTTCAAGATACTGAGATCCTTTCAAGGGGTTGATCTCTTCTAACAGATTATTTTTGTAAAGTATTTCAATAGAGAATTATTGTTTTCTGTTTACAGTGACCATGTGATGGGCATTAATTTGTTTATTTGTCTCAGAAAATTCATGATGCTAACTAATTAAATTAAATTCTGTTTAGCTTCTAAATGAATGTATTAATCTAGTTTTTAAATGAGACTAGTTAACAAAACATTTCTTATTAATAAAGTAAATGACAAATAACTTTTGAAAGCATTCGGTGCCACAAAAACAATTTCATTAGTAACATAATTATGTATACTGCTAATTATTAAAATATACTTTAGTCTTAAGCTTTTTATTTCTTTCCTTTGTAATCAAATAAGTCTTATCCTATGAAACAATGAGTTGAATTACTTAAAGGAAAAATGACAAATTAAATCAGATTATTTTCTTAGTCTATGGTTTAAATAAGTAAGCTGATTTTTCAAAGTAATAATTATATTAAAAAATAAAAATAAAATAATACATACATATTAATATTTAAATATTAAATAATTATATTTAACAATAAAAATTATTTTCTTTAATACGACTTAAGTTTTAAAAATATGTTTTATTTTTTGTCTTTGGATATAAGTGAAAATAACCAGTAGATAAATTAAACTTAGAAATTACAATCCATTTAAAATATAATTTTTTACCATTTATTTTAACACTTCTCTTTATATGATTGTGAAAAGATTATTTTAATTTGATTGTAATATAATTAATATAACTCAGTGGTTACATATAAAATGGGAATTATCAAAATATAATTATTAAAAAAAAGTGATCTCAGCTTAAAGGCATTTTGGTTTAACAAAGGAAGATAAAGATAAATAAGGTAAAAAAATTCTCAACCATTAATGAATTATTTTTGAAAATCTAACGGTTAAGAAAATTTCCTTCCTGATGCCAGGGTCTCACCCCAGTTTTACCCAACTCAGTCTATTGTGTTGTTATTAAATTTATAAGGATATTATAATTAAACTTGCAATAAATAAAATATATTTAAAGATATAAAATTTTTCAATTAAAATAATTATTTCATTGATTATTTAATTCTTTTTAAATTTAACTATTAAAAAAAATTAAAATAACTATTTATGATAAAAAAATATTTATAAAATAAATCAAAATTATTATTTTTATTTTTAATAAATTTTTTTCACTAGTTAAAATAAAATAGATTGAACTATTAAAATGGAGACATATGATTATTAAAAGCAAATCATACTTATGAAAAAGAATAATTTTAAATATATATTTATAGAGATGATTGAAACTCATAGAACAGTGTTAGTTATCTTCAACCCACCATTTCCCTGCAACTACTTCATTTCACTGGCTGAAGGAGAGAAAAATGAGTGTCCTTGGACTTGAATCTTCTCTTCACAACCAAACCCTTTCTCTCTCTTCTTCGCTCTCTTTCTCTCTCCCCTTCAAGCCCTCTTCTTCCACTCTCCGCTTCGCTCGCACGCGCGCCACGTGCCTCCCCTTGGTAACGTGTTCCGTCTCCAAGGTCCACAACTATGGCACCGTGGACTACGAACGCCGCCCCATTGTGCGGTGGAACGACGTGTACCGCCGGATATCGCTCAACCCGGACCCCGACGTGGGCTCCGCCGAGGTGCTCAACCGGTGGGAGAACGAAGGCAAAAACCTTACCAAGTGGGAGCTCTCCAGAGTCATCAAGGAGTTGAGGAAGTACAAGAAGTTTCGGAGAGCCCTTGAGGTCAACACTCTATCTTCCTACATCTTTTTCATATGGGGTGCTTTAATCTCTCACTCTTTACGTGTTTGTGTTTTTTACTCTTTCATTTTGCTGACGAGAGGAATGATGTTAGTTTGGTTTTTTTGGGAAACTAATTATCGGAATTGCACTTTCACTTGAAGTCAAAACACTATCTTCCAACCTTTTTTTCATTTGGGGTGATTTAAGCTCTAGCTCTCTATGTGTTTGTGTTTTTTACTCTTTCATTTGGTTGAAGAGATAGTGATATTAGTTTTTAATTTTTTTTTGTGAAACTGGTTATCTGAATTTCAATTTCACATGAAGTCAAAACTCTATCTTGCAACCTCTTTTTCATTTGGGGTCTATAATACTTCACTCTCTTTGTTTTTGTGTTGTTTTTTTCTTTTTGCTGAATAGTGTTTTTTTGTCTGTTCTAAGGATTCAAATTGCACCTTCACTCGAGGTCAAAATTGTATCTTCCAACCTGGGTGCTATTATCTGTGTTTTTACGTTTTACTGAAGAGATTGTGATTTGTGGGTTTTGTTTTTTGGTTAAGCTAATTATTTGGTTCAGGGTTTTAATTGTACTCGAGGTTAAAATTTTATCTTTTATCCACTTTTTCATGTGGGGTGCTTTTATCTATATGTGTGTTTGTGTTGTTTTGCTTTTTACTGTAGAGATTTTGGTAAGTAGTTGTTAGTGGTGGAATGTGTTATTAGTGGGAGGTTGGAGTGTTGTCTGTTTGAGTTTGTTTCATCAGATTTTAGGCATAGTTTAGCCTTTCCTGTGTTGAGAAGTTTCACATTCATTGGACTCACCAGTTCAAATGGTATTTTTTTTTTTGGTAAATCGTGCTGCTTGAGATTGGTTAACAACGTTCACTTTTGTTTTTTCCTTGTGACGTGACACAAGTAAGATTTTACAGATTTGTTTGTGACACATCATTCTTTTTTTGGCAAATCATGCTCCTTGAGATTGGTTAACAACTTGGTTCAATTTTGGTTTTTCCTTGTGACACGACCCAAGTACGATTCTACAGATTTGTTTGTGTATATAGGTAGCATTCTTGATGTTCAGTAGTTGATAACCAGCTTTACATAGTATGAGTTGAAATATAGAGCATTGCCATTTGTTCATAATGAAGGATTTTGTAATTTGTTGATGCCATTTTATTTCAGTTTTGCATGTGATTCAAGTTGGAATATAAACACCTGTTAGAAAGTGTTTTTAAGTCTAACTTATTCCCATAAAAATCGGCTTGTAAGGTGAACACCAAACAACAGTTGGCACATTCCACGATCTCCTAAACACACAAATACTACCAAAACTCTAATTCAAATCCAAACTGCTAAAAAAATACAAAAGTCGTACAAAATAAACATAGCAGACAGAAGACATAGTCAGTCTGATAGTCAGTCTGTGCATGTTTTCTTTTCCTATTCACAAACTTTCCGAGGTATACCAGAGCATGAGCAGCAAAATAAAGAATCTGTTAATTGCGGTTTCCCAAACATGTTTTGGTTACCATCTATGGCTTAGAATTTTATCTTACTGGATGCAAGGATATGTCCAATATCTTTGCCACAAATTTAGCAAAAATTTCCCTCTTTCTGTTCAACCTTTTTCCTTCTTCCATTGCCTTATTTAAAATTTCAACTGCTGTAAGAGAATAATCTTTTCCAAAGCTATATTTTGTTCATGGTGTGGAGTGCTGTATATGTTTATCATCATTGGACTATCATTCACTCCGAAGAATCAAAGATTGCTTCATACCCTTTTGCAATGTCAGAAAAGTTTATCTTGTTCTTGCAAAGTTGCCATTAAACTATGCGTAAATGAAGTCTGTTTAACAGATAATCCTAAAAAAGGAGTAGGGATGAGCAGTGAGCTATATGAGACTACAACAAGACCTGATTGATTCCATGGTAGTGCTATTCCCGTCATTATATAAGAAATGTTCCATTCTACACTTCACTTAGGGCACTTGGTTTAATGGGATAAATATACAATAACATAAATCTATGACAACATTCTTAATTGTTAGTTCCTTATTTGCAGATACCGTCAGTAAAAATTTTGCATAATCTGGGAAACCATTTTTGGGCCACTGCTCTATTTATTGACATGCTTTCCTTGGAATGAGTGGAATTATGAAAAATCTTGCTGTTTCTGATTATGTTTACTTATTTGCTTCAGTGGTCTTAATATCAGCCATGTACAATTTTTTAAATCAACAAACAAATGTGCAGGTATATGATTGGATAAACAATAGACCAGAGCGGTTTAGAGTTTCTGAGAGTGATGCAGCAATTCAGTTAGATCTAATCGCAAAAGTTCGTGGGTTTCCTAGTGCAGAAGTATTTTTTCTGAGTCTGGAAGATCAGTTAAAAAATAAGAGAACTTACGGTGCCCTTTTGAATGTATATGTGCATTCCAGATCAAAGGAAAAGGCAGAATCTTTATTTGACACAATGAGGGGTAAAGGGTATGTAGTACATCCACTACCATTTAATGTAATGATGACCCTGTACATGAACGTAAAGGAATATGATAAAGTTGATATGCTGGTTTCTGAAATGTTGGAAAAAAAGATACAGTTAGATATCTACACATATAATATCTGGTTATCTTCTTGTGGATCTCAAGGATCAATAGAGAAGATGGAACAAGTGTTTGAACAGATGGAAAAGGACCCTACCATTATCCCTAACTGGTCTACATTCAGCACAATGGCTTCAATGTACATTAGGATGGATCAGACTGAAAAAGCAGAAGAATGCTTAAGAAAGGTTGAGGATAGAATTAAAGGTCGTGATAGAATACCTTTTCATTATCTCCTGAGTTTATATGGACGTATTGGAAACAAAGACGAAATTTATCGAGTTTGGAATATATACAAATCAGTTTTTCCAAAAAATACACCAAACTTGGGATACCATGCTGTTATTTCTTCTCTGGTTAAAGTGGATGATATTGCAGGTGCAGAAAAACTTTATAAGGAATGGGTTTCAGTAAAGTTAAGTTATGATCCTAGAGTAGGAAACCTTCTCCTAGACTGGTATGTTGAGGCAGGTGATATGCACAAGGCTCTGAGTTTCTTCAAGCAGATGAAGGAGGATGGTGGTTTTCCAAATTCAAATACATGGGAGATTCTCTCGGAGGGCTACATTGCAGATAAGAGGATTTCTGAGGCCTTGTCCTGCTTGAAAGAGGCTTTTATGGTTGCTAATGATTCAAGGAGTTGGAGACCAAAGCCCTTGAACTTGTCTGCATTCCTTGAGCTTTGCCAAGAGCAAGGTGACTTGGGAAGTGCTGAGACTTTAACTGTACTGTTGAAGCTGTCCAAATTTAGTAAATATAAAGCTTATGAATCATTCATTGGCTCATCAGATGATGAATTATCAAGCAAGATTAATACAGTAGATAGAACTGATGATATGCATGGCAGTGAAAACATGGATGGTGACTCTGAATTATTGTTGAACGAACTAGAAAGTAGCTTTTGATACTTCAACTGTTTTTCTTTCTAGTATTAGAAAATGGCTTGCTAGAACATGCAGGGGATTTTGGTGAGTATGATCTCAAAGTTTCATGGATTCTGTCTCATTGCAACTGTAAGAAAGTGTAGCTGCTTTTGGAGTTTTTATGCTAAAATGATATGTGATGTTTTGCTTTTCATACGATTGATGTTGATATCAATGGTATATGTGATCTTGGGTCACCCTTTTGTATGATCTGTATTAGTTTTTGGGCTTTTACTTTGTGCACCCCCACAATTTCATTACGCACCCCCTGAAATTTTCAAAATGACCATTTTGTCCTTCTGAAAAACATATTTTGGAATTCTCTGGAAAAAGCTTTTCTGAATTTTTGAACCAAAATTTTAAGAACAGAATTTCCAGAATAAGATTTCCAAATTGTAATTTTCAGAACAGAATGTTCAAAATACATGAAATGTATTTTGGAATATATTTTTCTGGAATGAGATTTCTGGAATAAACTTTTCGAAACGTATGTAATGTTTGTTTATGAGTTTTCCAAAATACTCCTACATGAATATGTTTCAGAAAGTGTTTTTCAAAACACATTAAATACATTTTAAAAAGAGCTTTTTGAAATATATGAAATACATCTTTAATAGAAACTTTTCGAATTAAGTTTATTTTTTCATATTTTCTCTCTTTTTCCTCTCCGGCATTTTTCCACTCTTTTTCTTCTTATGTAACAGTAACCAATAACCTAGTTTTTGTCTTTTTCAATCTGATTTTTTATGTTTTCATCATGAATGATGGACTTTGAACCATGCACTATTCGCTTTGGGTCTCTTTGAAACAAATTTCTCTAGAGAATTTTAATAGTAAAAAATAAAATAAACTCTTTCATAAGATAAAAATAACTAATTTATGTACAAGTTAAAATTAAAAATTCAGTCAATTTATTTGAGAAAAGAAATAGATCATAAACTAATTTTAGTTTATGAAAACATGTTTATTTTTAGTTCTACAAATTAATTCTTATTTTTCTTCATATGTACAATTGATATAAATGCTATTTGAATCCTTATTTTCTTTTTCTACTTCGCTACAACTAAGCTATTTGACATACGCATCTCAAAGGTAAGAAAATTATTTTGTAAATACTATTGTCGCATTTGCTAATTTGTATATTTGGTCTCAATGGATGTAATCTTGTGCGAATTTGATTTTTATTTAAAATTATATATTTATTATCGTAATTTAAATATTTCTTGCAATTAAGAGGCATAATAATTAGCCGAAATGTGAGTTAATGTATATATCTATTCAATGATGGATTATTTTGGTAAATGAAGGATGTGTTTTATTATTATTATTATTATATATATATATATATATATATATATATATATATATATATATATATACATATACATATATACATATATATATATATATATATTCAATAAGAATTTAAAAAATATGACTGTTAAATTTATTTTGAAAATAAAAAAATTTCAAATCTTTTTAATTTAATTTAATTTTCATAATTTTATCAAATCAAACAAAAACAAAGGAATATTGTTTTTAAAGTTAATAATGTCGTATTACATATTTATTATTCTTTAAAAGCTTAATTATCTTTTAAGTCTATAGTGAACTTTCAACTGAGTTTCTAAAAATTTGAATGGTCAATTAAGTACTTAATAAAATTATATTTTGCAATTGAATTTTTGCATTAAATTATTTTGGAATGATGTGGTTGTTAAGTGACTAATATAGTTGTTCTCTTTATGTGTTACCTTATTGAGTTATTGCTATGTGGATATCATATCTATAAACTTTATTACTCATTTGCCACATTTAGTTAGAGGTCATGATTCTATTTGAATTATAGTAGATAGGTTGACAAAGAGTGATCATTCCTTGGTAGTGAATATGAGGATGTCTAAGAAAAAGTTGATACAATAGGAGATAGTGAGATTACAAGGCGTGCCTTCTAGTATTTTGTCAAATAGAGATCAGTGGTTCACTTCTAGGTTTTGGTAAACCTTGTAGGAGGCAATGTGAAGCAAGTTGAGGATGAGTTCTGCCTATTATCCTCAAACAGATGGTCAATCAGAGAGAATAATCTAGCCTTTGAAAGATTTGTTGAGAATCTATGTGTTGGATCACTTGGGAGGTTGGGATGAAGTTTTACCTTTGTTAGAATTCACCTACAACAACAACTTTCAAGCGAGCATAAGTATGATATCGAACGAGGCTCTATATGGCAAGCATGCAAAACCCCCTTGTCTTGGTACTAGGATGGAGAAGTTGTGTTGGTAGGTCTTAAATTCTTACAACAAATCACATAGATGGTGAAGTTGATACAAGAGAGAATGAAGGTTTCTCAGAGTAGGCAGAAGTCCTACACTAATCAAAGGAGAAGACCTTTGGAGTTTGTAGTTGGAGATCATGTCTTCTTACGAGTAATCCCGACTACTGGTATGGGAAGGGCTATTCGCTTAAGGAAATTGTCTCTTAGGTTTTTTGGTCCTTATCAAGTATTGGGACGCATTGGACCAATAACTTATAAGATAGTCATGCCTCCTCAATTTTCCAATCTTTATTTGGTGTTTCACGTCTCACATCTTAGGAAGTGTGTGTTTGAGCCCTCTCATGTGCTTGAAGTTGAAAATGTGCATGTCAGGGAAGAACTCTCAGTGAAGGTGTAGCTGTTTGGTATAGTTAATTGCCAGACGAAGTATCTTAGAGGAAAAACCATCAATCTAGTTAAAGTAGTCTCAGATGGGAGAACATGTGACTCTACATGGGAGATAGAGGAGGATATGAAGAACTCATATGTGCATTTGTTATATGGTAAGTCTAGTTTTCGAGGTAAAACATTTTGTTGTTGGGAAGAACGTAAAAGCCTAGAAAATAGGGTATTGGAAGTGATAGTGTATTCTAAATAATGAAACTCACTTATTTTAATTAAAAGTTCAAGCATATAAATAAAATTTCAATTAACGAGTTTTATTATCTAAAAAACATACTATTACTCTAAAATCTTTCTTCTAAAAGCTCTCTACCCTATCTCTAATCCTTCTAACTCATAGTTCATCTGTTTGAAGATTATAGAGTGTCTAAGTGATCACTAGGGCGAGATTTTCAAGTCTGTCTGATCAGTTCTTCTAGAAGAGAGCATATAGAGTTCGTTGAGTTGAAGGAGACGTTCTAAGTCCCTTAGAGTAGAGCAGTTGAGCTTCTAACGGGTAAGGGAAGCTAATTACCCATTTTAAAGTCTTTGATATGTTTCTAGTTTGTGATGTATATGATGTATTTTAGTTGGAATCGTAGGTTGGTATGAGAAATTCTGTTTTGGATGATCTGTGAATGTACCTGGTTTTTATCAATATGGTGTTGCTTAATGTGGTTGCTAAAGTTTTTGTTGTGTAAAATGATTGTGTGTGGTTGATTTCTTTGTTTTGGTGTTGACTTGATAAAATAAGTCTGTAGTCATTTGAGAAAATTGGTATTCAATTTGACATTAAAACATGTTTTTGGACCAAGCTCTGAGTTAGGAATATCACTTTGGTCATTTGAATAAGCCTTTAGTTCATCATATCAAAGTTGGGCTACTGCAAGTTTTCTGATATGGTGTTGAGCTTCAGTTTCACCACTAAGCGGGCCAAATGTTAATGGTCTAATGCTAAGCGGTGATAGGGCACCGTTGAGCGCTAGTTACCACTATAGGTATGGAATTAAATTTATGTTAATTCGCTGAGTGAGAGGTTGTTTGAGTTAAGCGAGATAAAAATGCGAAAGTTTTGGCCTAAGTGCTAGACCTAGCGTTGAGTGCTCCCTAGTATGAAGCTAGTGATGTTTTCTATGATTTTCTTATTCTTGCTTGTGTTTGAAGTGGTTTATATGGATTCCATGCATGCTTATTTGGAATTTGTTTATGCTTCATGGATTGTAAACATGACTGTTAGTATGAATGATATGTGATGTGATAAGAATTTGAAGGAGAAGTTCTTGTAATGGTTTCAAGTAGTGTATGTATTGATGTGAGGATTCTGTATTGGGAGTTATCGTGACACTCTAATAATCATTCAATCTCAAGTTGAGAAAGATGAGATATATCGTGAAGAGTAGCACGAGATCTTAGTTTATGGGTTTTTCCTTGGCCATATATGGTTGACGGACTAACCTTGTGTATGGTAATTTGGGTTGACAAGTCGTTCCACCACCATAAGTGCATAACTCCCAAAGTTTGACATCAATACATATATATGAATGGTCAAGTCTATAATGAATGATTGTATAACTTACGATTGATTGATATAAATTGTATGTGTCAATATCTTTGTTTCTGTTATATGCTTTCTCTTTTTGGTAAATTAGATTATCCTTCTATCTTTGTCTTTTTGTATGTTAGTCTTATTTTTTATAATGATCACCTTAATAGTGTGAATAGAGAAAAATGTCTTTGTTGATCATGTATTGGATGGTGAGGGTGTAGAAGAATAGGATAATATACTTAATTAAGCTTTTAATTCAATGTAATATAACTCTTAGTATTATAATATCTTTGTATATATATTTTTGTGTTATAGTTATACCTGTAATAGCATCATGTAGGTTTCTTTAAGTAAATTACTTCTTGTTATTGAATGTGTGATTAATTTCTATAATAGATAAGTACTATTACAATGAAAAATTACAAAAATAACATTGATGATATAGAAAGAAAATAAATACGTCAGTCACTTAATAGTCACGTTATCCCGTTAAAAAGAATTAACAATCATTAACAAATATAAATCTATCGATGATTCAATAAATCATAAAAATTTATTAGAATTCAAAAGTTATCAAATAAAAGTAAAACATAATCAACTCTCTTTAAATAATAGCAAATGTTATTACTTAAGTTTAATTAGTTTTAGAATTAAAAAAAATGAAATGGTATTTATAAATTTAATAATATTTATCAACAATTATGATTATATATAAACAAGCATTCATTCCGTGCAATTCGAAGGAGACGTTAATCAATTACGTGATTTTCAGGACAAAATTAATTACACAGGACACTGTACTAGTTTAGATTAGGTAAAGTTCCAAAAAAACTGGTTTTGTGTACCGTTCTCAAGTCACAGACATGCAATCCTCTTCTTCCCTTTACCTCAGCAAGTCCTCCTTCACCANATGTG